TGCAATTCAACTACTCATTTGAATCTACTCATCGTCAAAACTGTTTTAAATCATGCAATTTTTGAGTTAGAATTTGTCTTTCTTGGATTCAATTTTAGATGACTTCTTCTTTCAATCGAAGGTTCATGAGAATTTCAAAAAAAATTGTTTTCTTCTTTGATATGTCATCTTGTATCGTCACGCTTTTGCTCTTGTCTTTTAATTACGGTTTTCATTCCTTTCGCCATTTTAAAAAACTAATTTATTAATGACGTTTACATTCGTTTCAGTGCATGAGATTTTCTCATGGATAGAAATATTATCAAAAATTATGACCTGAAGGATTAAATGATTACTTGCATAGTTAGGTTACTCAAATAGTAAGTTACCAAATGCATTCTACACAAGTTTCAAAATGGGTAAGATAGATCTTCTTCATGCAAATAAGTAACGAGAAGATCGTGCGATATCATTAACATCAAAGACTTCAACATCAAGCTTCTGTCCTGAACAACAAGACGGTGCGCAAGTATCCATCCATTAGAAGACAAAAGCCATGAATAAGAAAAGGATTCTCGACACATTAACTGATAACAAGGTTCCCATATAATAGAACTTGATCATAAAGATTTCGTCACATCATGATGAAGTTATACAAAGAAGAATGATTTCAGAAATCATTTTATCGAAATAAAACAAAAACTGGTCGGTTTTTCTATTGTTAGATCATGCGAAGATTTTTATTAGAAATAATATTTTCGAATCATTTCATAAGGTCTGAAACAGTTTACTAACACACAGAGAGTCTCCAAAAAAAAATCATCGTATATGACTACCATCAAACATGACTTTAATCTCATTTTAATAAAAATATGTTCAAAGATTAGAAATGATCAACATAGAAAAGATTCAATAAATTCATTTGTATTTTGTTTTTTGCTTTATTGAAATCTTTGTGCTATTATATAGTCACTATGATGTATGCTATTGTGAGAATGTAGAACGAATGTCAACAGATTGGAGATCAGAGTTGTATTAATGAACTATCATGCTTGATTTAATCTAAGAAACCGTCATAGGTAAACATATTGTTTTTTTTTCTAAAGGGTGACAAAATGTCGTTTTAGGTGAAAAAGAGGAAAAATAGAGATCTGTTTTATTTCTTCGAAGTCGGATTATTGATACGTATTTTTCAAATTGAATGTTAAATTTCGTCATCATTTGTCTTATGTCGTTTCTGTTTGTAGGCCATCTTGAGTGTGTGAGGTGTGGATGTGGATGTCGGATGTTTGCGTGCAATGTGGCTCAGGCCAATACCTATATCCACATCCATACCCTGTCATGCCATTATTGGTAAATCATATCTCAAAATGAGCAAATCACATGATTTTGGAAATCATTTTAGGTTCGTAAGTGTATTTGTAACTATTTGACATGGTGATTACTTATGAAGCATCTTAATCATGATTTCAGTTGGCGTACAATCTGCCGTCGATGGACTTCTCCAACACAAGAATCGGATAATATACTTGAAACGATTGATAATCATCAAGCGAAAATTTCTTCTGAACCAGTGTTGAAGGATACATTCGAGTTGTTATCAACCAATGTTATAAATGTCGACAAGAAACCTTTAGAATTTTTAGAAAATCAAGAAAAACAACACTCAGATTCGATATTAGAATCTGCTATATCTCCAGCAGCTGAAATTCATGCTTCTTGTTATCATCAGAAAATATCTAATGAATTATGAACATCTGATATGGATACGGCTCATTCTGAGCTACGCATTATGATTTCTCAACTTGCTATTTTTATTAATCACTCTCAACAACAAGTGAAAGATGATAATGAATCTCAAGATTGGCATTTTGTGTCAATGGTAATTGATCGTCTTTGTCTAGTGTTTTTTTCTACAATCATATTTCTTTTTACTGCACTTACTTTTCTCAACGTTTAACTATTTTTTACACTTAATTTATTGCTTTTTTAATTGCTATGAAACCAGTTTTTATTTAAACTTTTTCTTTCGCCTTAAATATATATGCTTTAATAGACTCTATATAGAATATAGTAACAACTGTATACAAATTATTTTATCAATGAAATTGAACTATACTATGTTCGAAATTAATGTGAGCAGCCTAGAATGAATTAATGAGACCTATCTTGTATGATAACATAGATTCTTTTCGTTACTTTCCTTTTGATAAACATGAATACTCGACACAGAGTAGTGCCA